GCATTGTAACTTTCTTGATACTATAGATTCATGCGTCTTGTCCCATCTTGATCATACATTGTCTAGAGATTCTTTGGAATATGGATTGATTAATTCTTGTTCTCCTAATGTTTCGATACTTGAATTGAATGACTCTAACTTATACGAATGTGTGTTTTCTTTGGATTCTACGCAGGAGAAAAGCATGCTGAAAGAGATTTTGAGTTTGGGGATCGAAAAGGAGAAGAAAAGATGCAAAAGTAGGCTCTGCAGAGGTGACACGGGCTGTGACACGACCAAACAGCCCGTGTCAGCTGGTCGTGCTAGAAACCTGGAAGTTGAAAAATCCGCCCAGACCCGACACAACCTGCGACACGGGCCGTGTCAGGTGGTCGTGTCAGAACTGCAGACACGGCTTTTTGAGGGAAAATCGGGACACGGTCGTGACACGGTCGTGTCGACCGTGTCGGAGGTCGTGTCAGGTGTTTCCGCCCCTATTTTGTCCGAATCAAGTCCTCCAAAGCCCGACGCACAGATTTTGGAGCTCAAACCATTGCCAGATCATTTGACATGTTCATATTTAGGGATTATAGTTGCTATTTCTGATAGTGAGTGGGTGAGCCCGATGCACGTTGTACCGAAAAAGGGAGGAATGACAGTAATGACAAAGGAGGAAGAGGAATTGGTTGCACGAGACTTCGAGACCTTTGTAGTCAACGGACAACGGATAAAGCACTACTTTCATTCGTACCAAAATGAGAAGTTGTCCTACATGAATTTGAAGGAGCCGTGATTCTTACAAGCGTCTAGCTGAAGACGTTAAACTTAGCGCTTCTTGAAAGGCAACCCAATGTTTACTGCTTTATTTTTTTTATTTATTTTATTTTATTTTATTTTTATTTTTTAGTTAATTATATTTTTGATTTGTTTGATATTTTGTTTTTCTTCCTTGCAGAACACTACGTGGAGAGATTTACACGACGAAGGACATGCTTCGAGATCCATATCGACAATCGCCACCTCTCCAGTAATATTTTGTGAGTCGTATCTATTTTACTTTTCTTGAAATTCTATTCTTCCCTTATGTGCTTCATATAATTTCATTCAAGTTTGGGGGGAGATGTGATATTTTGATTTGAGAAGTTTAGAGAGAAGATA